TGACTGCCACCAGCCAAAATGTAATTTGTTTGGAGTGCTATTAAAATGCTATTACTGCTTATATATTATTGCATTGGGCATGCTAAAAAAACATTATTTGAAAATGCCTTGGTGGATCTGTTAATCAAGGCACTCATATTTTTCAACACATACATCTTTTTTGTAGAAAATACTTGACATTTCATAAAAACAGCAAATCTCAACAATTTTTATCAATAATGGAAAATGTTGACTGGGACACACTTTTCAGATAGATATCTCAAGTTACTTTCCATAGTTTCAGTGCTTTATGGCCACTTTATGGAGCAGCATCACTTTTTGTATTATACCTGTGTTTTTTTAGAAGGGAGCAATAGTGCATGGCTGCACCAGGAAGCCGGGGAGATTGAAAGATGCATAAATAGGTGTGTTTTTACATATAAAAATATTTAGAGCTTCCTTTTCAGGCTAACTTGTTTCTGCCAAGAAAATTATATCCTAAGATGAGGATAATGAAAAGGTAGAAATGAAGCTCATGAATAGCATGATGACTTTTGACTGCCATCCCCATTTTAGGATCTTTTTTCTGTCTTTTCTGTCTCCAAGCACATCATCATGACTTTTTCTTTTCTATGAGGGAACAGACTGAAATCTTGGTGATGAAATGCAGGATCTCAGTCTGATGTGAGGGCAGGGACTGAAGAGTCAATTTGATTCATCTTTTTGATGACGACAGTGTTTTATAATTTAAAGTAACAAATACTAATAATTGTTTATAGGGTATAACCCTTAAAATACCCCAAGTGACTATCTACAGTGAATATAAAAAAAAGTGCACCAAGAGTCAAAACAAATTTTTGGTTGCTGTCATTATTGATCAGATACAGGACTGTGAGTTTGTTTACCTCTGTTTCTTTTGTGTTCTAGACAACAGTTCCTGGGATAAGAAATAATGTAATACTACAACCACTACAATCAGATACACCATATAAAATTACTGTTGTGGCTGTGTACGAAGACGGAGATGGTGGACAACTGACTGGAAATGGCAGAACTGGTAATTAGTTTTACTGTTGTATATATATATATATTTTAAATTTAAGACACATATTCCTTGAGCACTTCAAAATTGTTAAGGTTTCATTATGTCAAGTATGTCTTTGATGTGATTATTACCTGACAGAGTTACAATGTAAGTTTGTAGAGGTTGAAAAACAATCAGTAGTCTAATTAGAGTGGTTTTCTTTCTTTTTAGTTGGCCTGCTTCCTCCTCAGAATATGTATATAACTGATGAATGGTATACACGATTCAGAGTTTCCTGGGATCCTTCACCATCCCCTGTTCTTGGCTATAAAATTGTCTACAAACCTGTGGGTAAGAAAGCCTGTTCGTTCCAACGATACCACTTTCAGAATAGTGAGTGGCTAATGGGTAATTCGAAAAGAAATCATATGTATCATAAAGTGTTTGTGTTAAAGGATTTCTTTCTTTTCTTTGCTTATGGATTTTCATACAGTGTTTCATACATTCAATTACAGAGATTGAATTGTATGTTTAAATTTTAATACAGTGATTAGACAAAGTTCTGGATCAGATTTGGCTTTAATCTCTTTAATCTCTTTAATATCTCTTGTTCTTCTGAGGATATGAACTGGTGTATGTGAGATGAGCATTGGATTTTTAGGTATTTAGGTACTAAAGTCCTTCAGAACCTTGTTTTATGTGACAGTACAACAATATGCATACTTTTCTGTAACTTAAATCAAACACAAACATAATTAATGCTTCCTTTCAATTCAAGGTTCAAATGAGCCCATGGAGGTTTTTGTGGGAGAAGTGACTTCCTACACCTTGCATAATCTGTCTCCCAGTACTACTTATGATGTGAATGTTTATGCCCAGTATGATTCTGGAATGAGTATACCTTTGACAGATCAAGGCACTACATGTAAGTAAAAATAATTTTGTTGTAGTCATGCTATATACATATGTTGCTCTGAGATAATGTTGATTAAGAGAGGCTTTTTAAGGCTGGTTGTTAGAAAGGCTGAATATCCTCTCAAAGAGAATATCTGTAATTTGTCTATGATGTAGACATAGGAAAAGTAATGGAAATAAAATCTTTGATTTGATGATATAAATTTTTCTAGTTTGCTTTCTAAAATTTTATTCAGCTATAGCTGGAGTCAATCTTTAACTGTCTCCAGGGTGCTACAGAATCTAACCATGCTAAGCAGGTCTAGGCTTTGTGCCGCTCTGCTTTTATCTCGCAGGAATGTCCAGTGATTGAAAGTTCAGCTTTTCAGAAGGAGATGATTTTGTTGATGGCCTCAGCTAAGAAACTTCTAAAAATTTCTTCAGTTAAGATGGATTAAGCATCTTGATTTTTGTTGACTCAATACATTCTTTTCATACTGCCATATATATGTGTCTGATTCTCATTTTTGAAAGCTTCTTATTTTATAAAAAACTCAACTTACTTCATATGAAAACTCATAAAATGGGTTGTTACCCAATATGGGAAAGGTATCAGACTTGCAGCCTTTATAAATAGCTAGGTTGTGGTCTCTAGGGCATAACAGAAAATGAAGAGATTGGCTAGAACTGCTCTTTCCTTCTGTGGGTATTTAAAAAAAATCAAATTCTGGACCAGAACTACTAATATAATTCTCATTTCTGTGTACTTCATCCATTACATACTGTTTTCCAGAAAACAATTTATCTCTGTTCACAGTATATTTGAATGTCAGTGACCTAACAAGTTACAAAGTTGGTTGGGATACTTTCTGTATCCGATGGTCACCACATCGGTCAGCAACTTCCTACAGACTGAAGTTAAACCCAGCTGATGGTAAGTGCATTTAATTTTTTGCATTTTATGGAAACATAATTGTCTTATTTCAGCAACACCACCACTTATTTGAGATGATGGCAAGCACTCACCAGAAGCCGTGATACATCTGGTTGAGCTTTAAAGCTCTGAACATTGCCTGGTTTTGTGGAGTGGTGAAAGCTCTGCAAAGAGGGAGTGCTGCTTATTGTCAAGTTATCTTTCATTATTGGGAATCTGCTAGTTACCTAGGTTTCACAAATACACTGCAATGTTGGTCTAGAAAGGCTTTTACAGGACAAGAATAAGATGTCCCATCCACTCCAACCTCCTCTAAAGAGGTCTCTAATTTTTGCACTTATTTGTACACATATTAAAAGGGAAATAGTGGTTTCTAATTTTCTTTCAATTGGACTTTTTTTGACAGGTTCTAGAGGGCAGGAAATCACAGTACGTGCATCAGAAACGAGCCATTGTTTTACTGGCCTCTCACCAGACACAGAATACAATGCTACCATCTTTGTTCAGACCCCTAACCTCGAGGGACCTCCAGTCTCTATGGGGGAGCATACAGGTAGATAATAGATGCTGTGAACCTTTAGTTTTGACTGTAGAGCTTGTATCATCTGTAGAACTTGTCTTCCTCCTAAATGCCTTTCAATACCTTTTTTAAGTGATCTTCTTTCCTGTTTCTCTCAGTGTAATGTCAACTGGACTTTATGGCGGAAAGAAAAATTCTATGCTCTTCTTCAAACCAAGCGTTTCCTAATGGATGCATTATCAGAGTACAGTGTTACTCAGCTCATGTAAAAGTGTTCCTGTTACAATGAAATCATGTACCTTTGTTTTAACAATAGCTATAATCTCATTATTCTTATAATATAAAAATTTTTCTTTGCCAATGTTACATGGGTAAGATTAGTGAGAAAAGACTAGAGTCTTTCTGTGTGGTAATATATTACATAATCTAGAGCTTTTCCTTGAATTAAATAATGTATATGAAATAAAAATATTATTATTTCATTTTAGTCCTCAAACCTACAGAGGCACCAACTCCACCACCTACACCTCCTCCACCTCCTACAATCCCTCCAGCTCGGGATGGTATGTTTCTTTGCAGAATTATTCATTATTTTTGTGTAGTTGCTCTACTGCTTCAGAGTTTAATTCTATTTTTCATAAATTTAAGTAGATTTAAAGCTAGCACAGCATTTTAGGAAAATATAGAGCAGTTTCCTAAAGCCATCCATTTGCTCTCAAGCTTTAATAGATTTCAACATTTTCTGATTTAGAACAGCATTTAGGGAAAAAATGCATGATAGCCTATAGCTCTGGAGCAAGTCTGTGAGTCTGTCTGCCCTCGGGAGACAATTTATGTTTTATGTTAGTTGCTCAGCAAAAAAAAGAAAAAGTAATTTAAAACGTTGAAATTTGATTCTTGAGCTTTTCTTCACTTTTTGAACTTTTCTTTGAAAAATTTTAATAACTGTTTTTGTATTGAGCATTAGCCATCTGCCAGGTTGGCTGCATGCTAATAGAAGTTTGCTGAATATTTAGCATTCTTGGATTTTCAAATTTTAAAGGCAATGATGTGCTTTATTTCATAGTGATACGATTGATGTGTTTTAAGTGTTCTTTTTCTTGGTCTTTCAGTATGCAGAGGTGCCAAAGCAGACATAGTATTCTTGACTGATGCTTCCTGGAGTATTGGTGATGATAACTTCAACAAAGTAGTGAAATTTGTTTTTAATACAGTAGGAGCCTTTGACTTGATTAATCCTGCTGGAATCCAGGTAGGTTTGTTATTTCCATTGGGTACATTTTGGAGAGAAACTGAAGATTGAAGCTGAATTACTAAAGTTGCATGTGATTTGTCCTTTCTTTCAGAATGCTGTCATTTGTTTGGTATTAGATTATCGTACAACACGTGTATGTGTATGCGTATGTCATTATTTATGAAATGTATTGGTCATTTTGTAAATGCAAAGGGAATCCATTCTATCCTGAGAGGTTACTATTGTGAAAGATGAAAGTTGTAGTGTGTGTGAATCCTCCAGGCAGAGAAACTGGGTTGATGTATGGTCCACATATGGTCAATTATTTATATTTGTTTCTTTGTATAGGGTATCAACAACTGGAACACTGTCTTATATAGTTGTTATACACTAGGTTTTCTCTGTTTCATATCAGAAATCTGTTTTGGGGACAATCTGACTGTTCAGTGAGGGTTATGTTTTAATTTCTCAGTGCAAGAAAGAAGTCTTGTACATGTAGAGTCCTGCTGGCATGCCATAAGCCTTGTCTTATTGAGCTGCTTAGAACCCCTCTAAATAGGCAGAATCCCTTCAGGAGAGGCATTTGCAGAAGTCTCTTCATCCTATCCTAAAGATAGGTAATATGGGTCCACTAAACAGATAATTTCAGAATAAGCATTCAGTGATTGTATTCCAGTATTTAAGGCAAGATAGTACACAATTTTGTATATATCCAACTTTATTGACATTCATTGCCAAATTATTTCCTAAACAAACCTGGAAGAGGGCTTGTAGATACTGTGTGTCTGCTCAGAAGCAGAGAATAAGCATCATAATAATATACTGCATCATAATAATAGGAATAATTCAACAATATGTATTTAAGATCACATCACATTTCATACACGAACGAGAACGAAAGAAGTGTTGTGTGCACATTGCTTGGGTGATATCAGTGTATGTAGATATGTATGTGTATGTATGTGAAAAAGATATTTCAATTATTTAATGCTTACTAATATACCACAATAAATATTTAAACAGAGGCTGTTGGTCTGAACATGGAGGTGTGAGACAGCACTGTGATATATTCCATTTCAGGTTTCATTTGTGCAGTACAGTGATGAGGCAAAATCTGAATTTAAACTGAATACTTTTGATGACAAGGCCCAGGCCCTGGGAGCTCTTCAAAATGTTCAGTACAGAGGAGGAAACACGAGGACAGGTAATTCTGAGCAGCAATCATATTTCTTTAACATAAAATATTTTCAGAAACTGACTCATTATCCTAATATTGCATGGCTGAACAATCAGATTTTTATGTTCCTCTGTTTGTGCTGTGTGGCTGTTGTCCTTTCAAAATAATTCTTTCTCATGGATAATATGGCTGACTCCTTGTTCATTGTATGCTTTGCAGGCAAAGCCCTAACATTTATCAAAGAAAAGGTTTTGACTTGGGAGAGTGGCATGAGGAGAGGTGTTCCCAAGGTACTTGTTGTTGTCACAGATGGTCGGTCTCAGGATGAGGTGAGGAAAGCAGCAACAGTCATACAGCACTCTGGTAAGAAATTCACACTACCTGGCTGTTTCAGTTCCTGATGTGTTTAGCAATGAAATTATAAGTGGTGCTTCAGTTATCTGGGAATCCTTTACTCATAATTTATGGACACAGAAACATATTCTGAGTATTTGGGAAAAATGCAAAACTACTCAAAGGATTTAGAATCTCTGGGCCAGACTTACTTTTCTTTTCTCCAGTCTTCTCTCAGGGGAAGGATGTGGCTTCCCAAGGCTTTCAAGTAATTTCTCATGCATATCATTTCACATATGTGAATTTTGGTTAGTTCTTTCTCTCCTTGCTGTGTGGACCCCCAGGAACATAGGGAACTCTGCTCCATTTTACTGCTTTTGATATAATGGGCCTGGCTTTTTGAGCTTTATGTTTTACTGGGTATAAACCAGTGGATCTCCATTTAAAGTGTGTGCTTTTGGTGGAGCTGGGTCCGAACTGACTCCTTCATTGACTTTTGAGCTGAGGAACATTGCACTTCCTCTTCAGATTTGCTGAATGTGGTTTATGTGAATCTAATAATCTATTCCTGTCCCTGCACCCATCAGTTCTGCATATCAGTTCATGATTTGCCTGGAATTCTGTTCCCAGAGTAAGGAAATTATGTACTTCCTTACTGAAATCACAGGCATGTAAACCATCAGTGGTCATCATCCCTGGCTCTGTGACCTGAAAAAATCAGCTCTATCTAGAGGTTTTCTAAAGATGTCTGGCTACCCTATTCATAAAAGTCTCTAGTCTCCCTGGATAACCTGCTTCAGTACTTAACTAGCCTAATAGTCAAAAAGCTTTGCCTCGTGTTTCACTTATGTGTTTCTTCAGGCTAATGAAAATGTTGTCTTCTTTTAATTTACCTAGTTAACCAGGAAAGCAATTGATCACTTTCCACTGTAAAGGGCATTCATATTTGAAGCCTGTTGTAATTTCCTCATTCTGTCTTCTCTTTTCTAGACTAAACAAATCCATTTCCTTCAACCTGCTGTTGATCATGTTTTCTCAACCTCTTATTGTTCTTGCTCTCCTCTCTACTTGCTTTGGTTTCTTTGCATCTTAAATGCAAAAGCTGGGCAGAGTATTTCAGCCAAAGCTTCACCAGAATTGGTGACAGAGGAATAATTATCCTATTTCTGAAAGATTAAAAATGGAAATAAAGATAGCTTTGTAATTTGCAGTAAATGTGAATTCTGCATTCAACCTCCAAGTAGCATTTCCAATGTCTGTGCAATGTCAGTGAAATTTTGTGGGAGATTTTTTTCTATATAGTGCTGAATTGTTCAACGAGGGTTTTTTTTTCCTTCCTTGCTTTCTGGTATGGCAAAGACAGGTCAAATTATTACATGGAGGCTTAGGTGGGAGAAGGGAAAGGAAGGAATGAATCAGAGACAGAATTCTGTGAAGGCTTGGAGTTAGCAGGAAAAAAAAACTTGATATAGAAGGCAAGGAGATGCTAATTTTAGGAAAATCACCCTGACAAAGAAGGAGATTATGCTGGTACCCCTAGTGATATGACTAAATTCTAGGGTCTGGGTTCTTGTCATTTGGTTTAAGCCATCTAATAACTAAATGTCTAATCTAAGGTAATAACGTAGGGTCCTTTTGTGGCTAGTGAAGAGAACAACAGATATGCATCTGCAGACCATGGCTTCTTCCATCTTGAAGTTAGTGTCTTAGGGAGGTGAAATGAATTGCATTCTGAATTTGCCCATGTCTGTCTGTTGGTTGTAGAGGAAGACTAGACAACTGTCTTAGACTTGTTAACTTGGAAAGTAAAAAATGGTGAGATGAATACCACCCTAAGAAAGTGAAAGAGAAACTGAAAAGCATGCAGGAAATGGCAACAGACCGACAACTGGATAATTAATAGTCTGCACAGAGATTTTGCACACAGAACAGATTTAAGATACTGTAGAATTGAGAGAACTGTATATTTTGTATGAAAGAGTGATGAGACTATGTAGCCAAGGCTGTGCGAGATTGGATAATGCACAATAAAAATCAATGAAAGAGGGAGGAGAAAGTTTTGAAAGATTCAAAAATCAGTTTAATCCCTCCTGAGCTTAGATGGGGTTGAAGGATCTTCAGAATGTATGCTCATAATGAAGCACAGGCAAAAAACTAGGTAGAGCCTGAGGAATCAATGATAGAGATGGGTTGTGAAATATGACCTGAAAAATGGTGATGTATATTTACTACATTCAAGTAACAAGTGTTATTTTTACAGGCTTCAGCATCTTTGTGGTTGGTGTGGCCGATGTAGATTACAATGAGCTGGCCAAGATTGCCAGCAAGCCCAGTGAGCGTCATGTGTTTATTGTTGATGACTTTGATGCCTTTGAAAAGATTCAAGATAACCTTGTCACCTTTGTGTGTGAGACAGCTACCTCAAGTGAGTAGAAGACATTATTTTCCCTTTTCCCAAATTAATACACTGCCATTAGTCTTATACACTGCTACAGTTGTGTGGTGGGCTGACTTTGGCTGGATGCCAGCTACCCACCAAAGCTGCCCTATCACTCTCCCCCTCAATTAGACAGGGGAGAAAAATATAATGAAAGGCTCATGGGTAGAGATAAGGACAGGGAGAGATTTTTCACCAATTACTGTCATGGGCAAAACAGACTTGACTTGGGGAATTTAGTTTTTCATTTATTACTAATCAAATCAGAATAGGGTAATGAGAAATAAAACCAAATCTTAAAAACATCTTCCCCCACCCCTCCCTTTTTTCCTGGGCTTATCTTTACTCCCAATATCCCTTCCTCATTCTCATGAGCAACACATGGGGATGGGGAACTGGGACTGTAGTCAATTCATCACATGTTGTTTCTGTCCCTACTTCCTTCTCAGGGGAAAACTCCTCACACCCTTCCTCTGCTCCAGTGTGAGGTCCCTCTCATGGGAGACAGTTCTCCATGAACTTCTCCAATGTGAGTTCTTCCCATGTGCTACAGTTCTTCATGAACAGCTCCAGTGTGGGTCCCTTCCATGGGGTGCAGTCCTTCAGGAACAAAATGCTCCAGCGTGGGTCCCCCACACTGTCTAGGGGTGCTAAAGAGGTGCAGCTATAGTGTGTGATGCTGTTTTAAAATTATCGCAGTAAAGTTCAGTTGTTTACTCAAGTCAAATCCTTCTATGGCAAAAATGAGAAATTCTCAGGCCTGTCATGTGCAACTGTGTACTCCCTAACTGCCTCAACTGCTGGCTCCTGAAGAGCCATAAAAATTTGCAGTTTTTACTTGTGAATCTGACATCTATGATACAGCCTGACTCATGCTTTAAATATTCATGGAAAGACTGTGTCATTGTGCTCCTTTCTTCTTATGAATTAGATCTTAAAATATTTATTCCATAGAATTAGTTATAGTAGAAATGTTGTACAAAAGTAATGAGTACAGATTTTAACAGTACGCAGAGCAGAACACAGTAAGACAAATGTAAAAATGTTGGCTGATAATGCATAATAGCACAGACTTTTTGGTAATAAAACTTTATGAAGTACATATATGTTCATATCCTGTTAGGTTTTATCATTTTTAATTATATGTTTTTTCATGTCTTTTAGCTTGTCCTCTCATTTACTTGGAGGGTTACACTTCACCTGGTAAGTGTCTAATATTTTGGTGTAGGTTCATTTGTGTCTTTTCCAGCTCTACAGTGTTTTTAATTTTCATTTTCTTTTTGGATTTAAAGGTTTCAAGATGTTGGAATCATATAATCTGACAGAGAAGCATTTTGCTTCTGTACAAGGCGTGTCACTGGAATCGGGCTCTTTCCCAAGCTATGTAGCATATAGACTCCACAAAAATGCCTTTGTCAGCCAACCAATACGGTAAGTAAACTTGAAAGACTCATATTTAAAGCAAGCAGGTGAGGAAGGATTAGCAGAGTTTATAGATGACAGCATTAGTATGATGTTATGGAAGATGCATTTATTTAATGTTCTTTTTACTGAGCTCCAAGAAATATACTCCAAAGAACATCTATCATTGTTCTCATTAAATGCTAATCTATTTCTTCCATTGTGATCTGTTTGCTGTTAATCCAGTTGTCTGTTGTTCTCTTTGGATACTATACTTCTCAACCATTTGAACTGCATGTAATCCACGGTTTGTCCTTAGGCAGTTGAACACCAGCCTCCATCATACAAAAAGCTCAGTGCTTCTGCAGGGAAACAGTTTCAGTATGGAGGGATAAGCACCACTTTTTGCAGAGGCACCATCATACTGCAGTAGGTAGCACACTGATGCCATTAGGGTAGTTTCTCCTTTACTTGTGTTGCTGTATTTGGCTAAGGAAGTGGAGTTTTCAAGGGTCTGTGGTCTTAGGGCTTGATTATGGAGGGGTAATAAATATATGGTCATTGTTACCAACATTTTTTTCACAAAACCCCAAAAAGCACAGGTTTATTAAGAGGGGAGCAGTACCTCTCTCCTTTTCTTTTTACATTTGTTCCTCTCCCATCTATTTGAGTAAGTTTCAAAGAGTCATTTTGAGTCAGAGGAGATGCCTAAAGGTAGCCCATTATTCTTATAAAATTTGAGGAAATTTTATCTTCTTTCCATACAAGCTTTTGAAATCTGCAATTCTGCAAGACTGGGTAAAGATCAGATCACAGGCATGGGAGCTGAAGTATATGAAGTAATAACTTCTTTTTGCTGGCTTTCTCAGCTTACAAATTCAAAGGCAAAGGACTTGTGGACTTTCTGAGTTCACTGACATATCATTATAGCTGTGGGAGTGATAGGTTTCTGACACCCTGGATTTTTATTACCTAGGGAAGTAAAGATAATCCCAATTTTTCAATTCTCTGACATTAAGATAAACCTTGCATTTAGCAGGGTAAGATGATAAAAAGACAATAAAGAGACAGACTTCATATTTATTAAATTTTTTTAGAATGTTGTGATACATAGTCTGTTGTCTGCTGTAAGAGATGGAGTAGACTTACCAGTGTATTCTGGGCACTTATTTTTCATTAGATGCTAGAAAATAAAACTCACTTTAGGCTGAGTCAGCAAAGTAATAAAAGCATTCTGATCCTGATGGCATAGTAGTTTCCATATCTGAAATAACTTGGTATATGACTTATAAATAGTGTTGCTATATCTACTTCAATATTTTCATTCTTGCACTGTGCAGTGTGGTGATGTTGACTTAGTGATGTGGTTATTACTACAGTGTCCATAATTGTATGGGTGCATAAGCTTTGCCTAAAATACAGAGAAGCTCCTTTTTCCATTTTTGAGGTTTCTGTGTTTATATTCATGAGGCCAAATCCCCTTCTCAGTTCCATTATAATAGTTAAGGGCAAGCATAAGGTACCTCCTTTCTTACAGTCCTGCCTTCCCTCCCTTCCCCTTCAGAAAATGCTGGAGGCCATTTAATGCATGTTTCTATTTACTTTTGGCTTTCAGCTTGTCTAACAGTCTGAACATCACAAATCTAAAGCTCTGCCACTGATGCAGAGTCCAAATACATCACCAATTGCAGAGAATACAGTAAATATCTCATTCACTGTATCTGTGCCTCAAGGGCAGCAGTAGTTATGTGCTGTTTTCTGTTGCCTGTCTAAAACAGGCCAGAGCAATGCTGCAGTCCGTTTTTCTTTACTTATCATCAAGGAATTTTAAATACGTGTAGTTCATACAGAATCTTGCTACAAGAATACATCTCCAAGAGTTCTTGGTCATATTCTAGGTTCCTCCATAACCATGGTGCCTGGACCAATTGAAGACAGGCTCTGAGTCCATCTTAACAAATAATGTGGTGGTTTTTATCACAAAGTACTTTTTTAAGTACTTTGTTAAAGTTAAGTTAAAATTTAAGTTAAAATGCTCAGTTCCATTAAACACTGTGGTTTCCCTGTTACTCTCATGTCTTTTCTTTGAAAAAGAGAAAATTATGAAGGTCTTCTTTTCCTCATGTTTCCATGTGACAAAATATTTTCATATTGTCTTAACAGGGAGATTCACCCAGAGGGATTGCCACAGGCATACACTATCATTCTGTTATTCCGTCTTCTGCCTGAATCCCCCAATGAGCCTTTTGCAATTTGGCAGATTACAGACAGAGATTACAAACCACAAGTTGGAGTTGTGCTTGATCGTAAGGATGTTTATGTTTATTGCATATAGAATTAATACTTTACATTACTTTGCATGTGTTCTTCTAAAATATTTCCAAACCCAAAGCATTCCTACATGGTAAAAGGAATTTTTTTTTTTTAAGAGTTTTTTGTTTTTACTTTGTACATCAATTACTTTTTTATTTTTAACTAAGAATAGTTCACCTAAACTACCTTTAACTTTGGTATTACCTCTAAAACAAAAGGAAAATACATCTATGTTCTTATGGGTCATTAAGACCCATATAACCTGTGTTTACCCAATTGAGTGATATGCTACATTTTATCTGTAAGTGGTGTTTTCAGTAGTACATGTGAAATGAAATTTATTATTTTCATTTATTGCAGCTGCCAGCAAAGTGCTGTCATTCTTTAACAAGGATACAAGTGGAGAGGTTCAAACTGTAACTTTTGATAATGATGACGTAAAGAAAATCTTTTATGGAAGTTTCCATAAGGTAAAGGATTGAAATTACGAATTTTGCTTTCTAAAGTGGTGTTCTTTGAAAAAAAGATAAGCAAGCAGAAGTCACTCTCCGTGACCAGTCTTTATACTGTACTGTAAATTGACATAGAGACTTACAGATCATATAAAACAAGATCTCCAAAGTTACAGCTCTTCTTTGAACTGATGGAAAAGATTTGCCAAGATTGTGAAAGTGGGGGGATATATCTGAACAAGACGTCACCGCCTGATTCCTGACACGCGAAAAAGGAAAAATAAAAGATAAACTAGCAAGAATAGAAAAAGCAGTTGTGGTGAGAAAAGATTGGAGGGTAGGGTAATGGTTTGAAATAATTCAGAGAGGAGGAAGATATAACCACAGAAAGTACGTAGCTGTTGACTTATAAAGGCAGGAAACCAGTTTTTAGAGATGAATAGCACATTGAATAAGATTCATATGTTTAAAAAACATACTACATGTATATGGATGTTTTGTGTGTATGAATGTGTATTGATATATTTCTGGCTTAAATTCACTGGGCCTAAAATACTGCAAAGTAACGTTAACTGAGGAAACAACAATCATGGAAAAGAGCTCATAAGAGATTGTGTAATCTCTTTTTGATTTACAATGAAGCTCGTGTTTTTTGAATTGTCAAAATGGCTAGTGAAATCCTTACATGTTACTGCATCTGTCTTCAATTGTGATAGTTTTGTGCTTGCTTGTCTCATTTTGTCTCATTTTGTGCACCTAATTATAAAAACTTGATCCTGCCAGGCTTCCTTACCTCTAGTTATCAGGAAGTGTTTGACTCAGGCTACATGTATATATCTAAAACACAATTTAAAAATATTTTCTTTCTGTGTTAAGTATATATGTTTAAGATAAAGTGAGTTGTAGTTGCAAAATTTTTGGTCAGCTGAAATGCACATTCTCATCTTTTCATTTATCTCCCTCTTGTTTAGTTTAGTTTTCTTCTGATGACTAAATATGGCTAGAGTATAACACGTATTTTCTTTATGATACTCTCTCCTTCATGACTAATCACTACGAGCATTCCTTCAAGGATGCTGATAAGAGGTTGCCTCTGTCAACTTGCTGATACTAGAGGCCACATTGTCAACCTAGCTCTGCTAGGCTGAAAACAGAGAAAGGTAGCTGGTGCCAGCTATTGTGACTTCATCTGTTTAAAACACAGATGACTGCAAAAATCACACAGTAATATAAAAGCTATTGGTTTCCTCAGAATTTGACAGAAGTTAATTTCCCAAATTACTTCTTTGTTATATCCAATTATTCTTGTTTTATAGTTTATTTAACGGCTAATTGTTTTTGCATATATGAAGAAACGTTTATGCCATTGGCTTTGTAACTGGTACTTATGAGGAGGTTTGGATTGTGCCTGCTTTAGGCAGCTTCTATTTTGCCCTTGGCATTTGGCTTTTTGCCCCCCCCCTTTTTTTTTTTTTTAATATCTGGGAAGGAAAACTGAATTTTAAGGAAATGTGTTAATCTACTGGAGTGAGAAAAACTGTCAGTAAACTCTAGCATAGATATTGTTTTGGTATAAAAGCTGAGTCATCTCCAAGAAGGAAGACACAGAACAGCATGTGGCATGCCTTGTTTTAGATTTCAGTGAGTTGAGACTTCCCTTCTCTAAGTCAGTGGTGTGAAACTTTCTACATGCTGTACTGCCAGCAGTCTGGTTTAAGTATCTGCTGCTAATTTCACGGACATCGAGTTAACTTTTTCTTGTAGTTCCTCTAAATATGATAGAGCTGAGCAGAATTATCTGACAACGCTTACAGTGAAGCACTCATCATTTATCACAGCAAACGGGGAACAACCTGCAACCCCAGCAATACTACCAGTTACCTATAACTGTTTAATTACACTTGCTGGTGGAAAACCACTAAGAAATAAAATGTATTATTTTAGTAGTTAGATACATATGAACAGAAAGCAATCCTAAAATGCCAAATAATGTACAGAAGTTAACAGCCATTTGCAAATTATCTTAAAGCTCTGGAACTATGAATTTTTGCTTGTGAGACTATTTCCTAAGCAAAAATGTATCAGTTATTTAGTGCAGTGTGTCATTCCCCCCCCCCTTTTTTTTTCCTGGGAAGAAATCAAAAGTTCAGGTGTTGATAGTATCTGAAGTAACAGGAGTAGCCTTGATTAAAGAGCCATATTTGGGATTTTTCACCATGTAACCGAGCTGACTGCTCTGGATTCTCTCCAGAATGATTACTGAGTGCTGAGTCAGGTTGTTAATGATACCACTGTGGGATTCTACAACTCACAGCTGGGAAAGCCCTATGTATCAGCCATGTTGATTAGCTCCTAAAATAAAGGATAGCAGTACATTCAGCTGTGTGAAGGAAGGAAAGTAAGATTAGCACATTTCAAGAGGTACTTTTGCAATTTCTCCTACCATCCAGTTTCAAAGAAATGACAAATCTTTAGAATGTGTGAATATGTTTTCTAAAATATCACACATTTTTGTGGTTTTCATTTGATGACTTACTGGGTCATTCAGTGAAACACAGTTAACTACACCTAACTGTGCAGGGAAATTTACTTTGGCATACTCGAACAATTTGCGTAGCATAGCTATGGTGAAAGCTGTTGAATCTGGCAAGCCCCATAGGAAAAATCTTAACTGCCTGAGACAGTCATTAAATTTATAACTGAATGTTTTGGAGAGATGGGTGACTTATACTTTCTTATTCTTACCATACTACCTTTTAGATTGCAGTTTTACAGTAGTTAGCTACAGGAAATTTGATAATGAGCATATGTCTTTCTGCTGATGTACATATGGGATAATAGTTTGCTTAGCTTACTGATGTGGTTCATTTTGCAGTAGATCAGAACACCATAAAACTTTATCTTAGGAGGGGTCCAGCAAGAAAGATGAAAGCATGTTTTCTTTCTTAAAAACCTCAGTGCCTTCTGGCACTGAAAATGGTCAGAATTGATGCTTTGTATTGGTGTGTTCAAAATTGAAGAGAATCTTTCTGTTAAAATTTTGTTTTCAACAAAGTGTAAGAAGATTGAATAGAGGTGTTTTATCTACAGTAAAAACTAGATGCCTGCTTTTATCAGATTTGTACCTGGACTATGAGATTCAAGCTGGAACTCAGAGCTTCTGTTAAATCAGCAGTTAGCTGGCTGAGTCAATGACTTAGGGAACCTCTGCTTATTTTTGGATTGCTTCTTCTTTGGATACATAGGTAATACTCGACAGTTATTGCTGTTTGAACATTTTCAAATTGATGTTCTAATTCAGCACTGGATGTAGAGTTATGTCTCCAAAGTTATGTCTGCAAATGAAAATTCCTTTGCTATGCAGTTGTCATTTACTTTATTTCAATTCAGTCCAGTAGAAGGACTTGCATGTTAGATGCCTTGCATAATTAGTAAATTACGTATGTGATGAGTTTAAACTGCTTGATGCATTAGTTAATCTGTAAAATTTAATCATATAATCAAATAACTGAGTATATGATGTATAAATGATAATGAATTTAAAGTTTTGGCATGGCACTTATTTCGTGGAAAGTTTGGTACCAAACTGTACTTTGGACACAGTTGTATTTTCATTATTTTTTATTTAGTCAAGAAACACTGTTGGGAATGATAATTAAAACCCCATTTGTATACACAGCACTGAGAATTAAACTGTGATGCCACCTGAATTTTGAATGACAAAAAGTGAGGGTAGTTTCAAAAGTCTTAATTCCAATTACATAAAATACATAATGTTTAAAGAGTTTTAGATAAACTATGCTGATGCCTAGGAGGCAATTCCTCAAGGGAAAATATTTAATATGGAAAAAAAGAACAAATTCTCAGGAGATTGTTGAGGCACTTGTTGACTCAGGACATTTAAGGGAATCTCTATTTCAACTTTATGCCAAGTTTTTTAAGCAGTCATCAAATAGCAATATGTTTCTAAAGGGTTATGTAGTATGATAACAGAAGCTTTAAAAGATGAATACATACTTCAAGGATTCTTTACTGCTTGTCTTACTGTGTTGATATTTTAACAATTAAATAGATGTTATAATATTGTACATAAGTATATGCAGTATGTAAGGTATATAAAGCCACTGAAATCTTTCTGTTGCCTTAAGATGTTCCATTAACTGCATATTAGATTTTTTTAAAATGTCCAACCCTTGTTTCTTTCTTGGAGACTCCTGAATGTGTTTTGTTTTCACAGAAATGTAGGAAATTCACTTGCATAACATTTACCATCTGTACTATAAATTTTTGGAATGGTAAACTTTCCTTCAATTTTGTTTGTTCTTCTGTTTAAGGCTTACTGTGTTTTCCCCAAACACTTAGTTCTCTTGGCAAACGTACTCTCACATTACTACAGTCATTCTTTTCTCCCTTCTAGGTTTCCCTTATTTCCAATAATTAATTTCTTCCTCTTCTTTCCTGTTTCTCCTCATTTTGGTATGTTTTTGTAGCCAAATTTCTCATGGAAATTTCTCTCTTGCTTCTTCCATGATTTTGTCTTTTTCTGGGCAGGCTTCTCTGCTCACTTTCTGTATGTTAATGCAACTAATGCCTCTGATTGAGTCATCTGTGGAAAATGAACCCTGAATCCTTGGATCTAAATCTACCTTCTGAACTACAGACAGTTTATTAGCCAGTGGGCAGTCACAGACTCATAAAACTCTTTTGTGTTCTGATGGCCTCAGCCATCAGAAAAGGACAAGAAGAACTTATATTAATTTCCTCTCAAAAATTCTTTTTATTTTTCACTTTTATGCCATCTTAAAGCAATTACATAGATCATTGTAGTTCAACTATTACATTAAATAGTATTAGCTGTGCTTCTGTATACATCTTATTGGTCTTCAACACATTTTAGAGAGGCTACTAATGTCATAGGCTTTCCTTGTGCCTGATTTTTTCCACCATTTGAAAGTATAGTACGATTGCTGGGAAGAAAAATTTAAAACAGTATTACCTAAACAGTGAAATGATATTAAAGTAGTAAGGTAAATATGCCTATGTACCTTTTCTAAGTATTACATTAAACTTCTTTTCAGGTCCATATTGTTGTAACTTCGTCACATGTTAAGATTTATATCGACTGCAGTGAAATACTGGAAAAACCAATTAAAGAGGCTGGGAACATCACAACTGATGGCTATGAAATACTTGGGAAACTTCTAAAAGGCGACCGGAGATCAGCAACAGTGAGCAACAAATATTAATCCATTCATTAGTGCAAGCCCTTGAAATTTTCTGAGGAAAGTTATTAAAGATTTAAGATTGCTGAGAAACCAGAATTGCACTTAAAGATTTTAAGTGTCTGTACTTCAAGACCCAATATACTTAACTGAAAAGTTTGGGTTTGATACCTTCTCATTCTAGCAGAATTGCAAGAACAAAAACCTAACTGCTGCAAGTTGCAGTCAGGTAAATTCAAACAAGAGCAGAAATGTTTTTCTTCTGCTAGGGAGAGCATTTAGTCATTGGAACCATTTACTGAGGATTCTCTATCGTTGGAAATCTTTAAATTAATATTGTTTTGTTTTCTTAAAAGACATTCTCCAACGAATAGGATTTATTTCTGTCAAGACCTATGGTGTATCTTACTCTAAGTGACCAGAGTAATCCCCACTGGCTTTATGATCTATAAGCCTATAATGAAAAAGTGGCTGCTGCTATGAAGGGCACATCAATTATCTCAATGCTATCACCTGAACTTCATATTAGAAGATTTAAATCTGTAATCTGACCCATATGTGCAAACCCTAACACCAGCAGAAGACTCTTGGTGCTCACCATCAAATGTTCGGTTGCATGTATCAAACTACAGGATCGTAGCTCTTGGGGTGAAAAGAAGAAAGGAAACCTTTTTACTGTACAGTCTACCTAGGTCCCAACTTCAGCCTTTTTGCAGACTTTTCTTTGGTAATCTCAGTGGAAAATTCCATAAATGAATCTGAATTAGTATGTGACTCAAAGACTTCAGTCCTTAGAGCTGGTCCAAAAGCTTTTCAGCCACATTTCATGTTGAAGTGCACAGGTGCTCAGACAATGTGTAAGTTCATCAGTAATATTCATTAAGTAAGTATTGCAAAATATTTCTTTAGTCACATATTTACCCCAGAACAAGAGCAAGCATCAGTGCTTGAAGTTCTTGTAACCTTACGTAATCTTGGTTTTAAATATTTTATTATTTATTTCATTTTCTAAATTTTTATATATTTATAAAATTATTTAATTTTAAACCATTTTTTTCTGACAGTGTCAAAAAAAGAAGTGAATGTCCAAGTGATGTAAACTACATTAGAGATAAGCTGGTTTTGGAGTAATATTTAATGATAATGCCACTAGATTTCATAAATAACATCTTAAATATCTTTCAAGAGTCCTCCTTTCTTTTACAGTTAGAAATCCAGAATTTTGACATTGTATGTAGTCCAGTTTGGACTAGCAGAGACAGATGCTGTGATCTTCCTTCTATGGTAAGTATAAATGAACCAGAAGCTATTCAGAAAATAATTTTTAATAGCAAATTTAACAATATCAATATTACCCTGGTATTATATCTCATATTGACAGCAAATCTAAACCAGAGTTGTCAGAACAGCCAGTGGACAACACTGTATTTCAAAGTTTTGTGTCTGAGGGAGATGTTATAATGTGCTAGTTGCTTAGGAATGATGGAAAAAATGTCAGTTATATTTTGTATTTCAATGAATGGTATTATGAATGGAATAGCTGTACTATTTTTTTTTTAATTTAACCAGTTCTTAGAGTAACATTCAAAAGTAACTAGTTTATTCTTTGTTATTGCAAGCTGATTGTCTAATGGACATAAATATTAGAACTACAGAAATTGCATATGAATTTGATTTTACCTGTGTATCTGTTGTTAGTGTCTTGTATAGCTCACAAATAAAATTGGCTAAATATGAAAGGTCCTGTAAAAACTTTTGGAAACCACTGTTTAGTTGTGTGTTTTACTTGTACTTGAAAACAGGATAATAGAAAATTTTGCTGTTATTGTGTTAGAAAAATATGCTGCCATCAAGCATACTTCTCTTTAAAATGACAGTAACAGTTGTGATTGTATTTTCAGAGAGATGAAGCAAAATGCCCAGCTCTTCCAAATGCTTGTACCTGTACTCAAGACAGTGTGGGACCTCCAGGACCCCCTGGACCAGCTGTAAGGAACTATTTGCAATCGACAGATTTTGTCATTTTTAGATTTATGGAAGTAGTTTTCTATTGATCTGTGGTTTTGTGAGACAAAGGTCAGTCAGAGAGATCAACATCTCCATAATGTTATGGTAATCTGTTCCCCTTTCATCTCAGTTTAAACCACAATTGAGCAGCTCCTACCACCTCTACTTATTTACATAATAATCCTTTTCCCATATTTCCAGTGTAATCACTGTGAATAGCTACTTATTGTTTGTTAGGTTGAAAGAATCTGGCCCAATCTCAGCTGTCTTGCACTTCATGTACAAGATATTTTAACGGACTGTGCAAATATTTTTTCCTGAATACAGAGTCAGGATTTCACTCCAAGGAAAGATTCTTTACTCAGTCAGGGAAACAAATTATAGTCTCTTTTTTTGTGTGGAGAGACAGCAATCTATGAGTTGGATATCCTCCTACTAGTATGAATATAAAGGAATTATACTCAGCCCAGTAGTACTTCTACTTTTAAGCTACCAAAAATGCAGCATGAGGAATCTGAAGTCCAGTTAAGTTGTCTGCCAGTCTACTAGAGAGGTATCCATAGATTTTGATGAATATAAATTGAAGCAGTTTATATCTGCAGAGACAAAGATGACAATAATTTTTCATGGGCTGAATTGTCAAGGCTGAAGCTGATGTGGTTTAACTGAGTTTCTGATGCATCTTCTGTTCTAGTACTCTTTTTAGTAGTGTGATCTATACACTTCAAAACTTTAGGCTTTCATATAAGTGATAAAGAAGATTCAAAATGCACATTGGTATGATGTACCCTTGCTTTCCCTGAATGAAATACATTTTCTTTCCAAATATTCAATGTAGGGTGGCCCAGGTGCTAAAGGTCCCAGAGGTGAAAGGGGTTTGACTGGATCATCTGTAAGTATCTTTCTGGAATGCATCTATAATGTTACTACATGCTTACCTGCGTGGAACTGTGTTTAATTCTATGCTGAGCTAAGAATGGAAATTAAAAATTTATTTGGAAATATGCCTATATGTTTTTTATGTGCAGCCTACCTGTTGAGACTATATGTACACAGTCTATGTATATATGCAGCCTCAAAGGCACTGACTGCACATCAGCAAACTAGAGTACATGCATCAGGGTGTTAATAAATACCCTGCAGGATTGTTGTCCTTTCTTCCGTACAGAGGGGACAGCTATACTTCTAATTCAATACTGTCAGAAGGTGTTTTGGCCTGAGACTGCCAATGTGAATGAGGGAATAGCTTATGAAAGGGTATGCCACTTGAATAAGTGTTTCCACAGTTGTTCTGAAGTTTTAAATGTATCTCCAGGCTTCTGGTTTACCTTAAGTGTCTAACCCAAAGGATTTTATAATTACACATCTAAGCAGGGTTTGCCATTTACAATCTTGCTTTAATTTTCTGCTTCAAGGGGCCGCCTGGTCCTCGTGGTGAGACGGGTCCTCCTGGCCCTCAAGGTCCCCCAGGTCCACAGGGCCCCAACGGGCTGTCTATCCCAGGTGAACCGGTGAGTGGCCATTCTGAGTGCGGGTGGCAAAGTGTGTGGGGTCAGACCTGTCCATAGGGAGTTGGTAGTCTTGGGAAGAGAGTGGCAGCTTTGCCTTAACGTTCATTTTTCCCTGCAATGCAGTAGTATTATGAAGCAGGTCTCTTTCAATACAGTTGCATTTTCTATCCCGATTGTTACATGTGCCCGTGAAGGGGCAGAGTCTAAGCATTCTAATGTACATTGTGCTACTCCATTTTCAGTTTCACAGCTTTTCTGTAGAGTTGCATCTTTCAAGTTCTAGGATTCAAAACTATAAAACTGTGCTGCAGGAAAATTAAGCACACAATATTACTCTGGAGATTTTCTTGGGGGTTTACATGTCTAACTTTTATTTTCCATGCTCAAATCAGTAGCTGAAAGTTCAGAGAGGCAATGGGTGCCTAGATCTAGATATGCAAAACAGCCCTTTGTTACTAGGGGGCTTTCTTGGCAACAGCATACATGTTTTAGTGAGAGGCTACTTCCGATTTCACATACGTGCCTTCAAAGCCAGAGCAATTCTATTAACACTGATGAAGTTTCGCCAGATTCTGTTTTTTATAGCCGACAGCATATGTAACCCTTTGTTTACATTCTGAATATATTGACTGCTTTTGCCATATTTTAATAAGTAATCACCCCAAAAGCAGGAATATAATTTTGATGTTTTCTGTTTAGCTTGGATGTTAATATAATCAGGATTTTTTTTATTAAGTTTTTGATTAAAATATAAAGCTTATGGAAAAAAAAAGAATTGGTATCTAATTGCATGCTGTCTCATTTTGCATTTGAAACCAGGCTAGCTTCTCAGTATGTAAAGTAATTTGGGAAATGGAAAACAAAATGTGCTTTAAGATAGAGATTAGGTACACCTTGTGTTTTGTAAGGACAAAGTAGACAGCTTTTGTTAATCAGTGTAGGTGCTTTTTATTTTTTTGTTATATACTGTGAGGAAAAACTTCAAGATGACCTAGAGGTGCCAAACAGCAAGAAAGGCCAAACACATTCCTTTTACATGTGGAACATAATTGTTCTGGTTCTGCTGTAGCAGTCATTTTTCTCCTTCTTAGTCACTGGTGCAGTGCTGTGTTTTCGACTTTAGCCTGACAACAACACTGAGAATGCATGCCAGAACACGACAATAATAAATGCATGTGTTTGTCACATTCAGTTTGAAAACCTCTGAAGAATGAAAATAGCAACATTGGTGGATTAGTTTACAGTCTCATTAGTTTACAATAGACCACTTTTGAGTCATGTAATTTCATTTTTCATATCAATTGTAATTCACTTTGGTAGGCTGTGTTTACAAATTATTTGATTATTTGTGTGTCATCAACAATTATTAATGATGGAGCATCATGCAAGCCACTGTGGAAAATAAAGATTGTATGTCAAATTTAGCTCTTCTGATTTCAGACCATACATTTATACTACAGGGCTGTAGGGTATGTGGAATACAAGCTAGCTGAGAAAGGTAATGCATTGCTTCATTATGTGCTTTTTCATCTTGTGTACTGGAAATGTGTAATGGCTTTTAGACCATAAGCTAGAGAAAAATAGTGATACTTTAAAAAGACCGAGCCTTTAACTTTGGTGAGTGTAGACAGCTCTGTTCATCAGTTGAGAAAGGTAAGGGAGTTTGAGAGAAAACATGTAACCCTTCCCTGCTTTCCTGCCTATGAAGACCTTGATATCAGTTTCTCTTACTGAGAAGACATGTCACTTCCTTATCAAATGTCAACCAGTCATCCTGCATTTGCAAATATTTGTGAGATCAGTATTGCTTCTTTTAAGAGGTATATGTATCTTATTCCATAACACATATTTGGCTTATGAATTCCTTAATTTAGGTATCTTGCATAAATATTTTGTGTCCATTACACAAATGTATTATTCTGCTCATCTACTGTAATTCAGAATCTCTAACAATAATTTATGAAAATTATAGGGTCGTCAAGGAATGAAAGGTGATGCTGGCCAGCCTGGACTACCAGGGCGATCGGTAAGTAGACACTTAGACAAGATAATGTCATTTCACACAGTTCCTGATGCAGGCTGGCTGCTGCACAGCTGTCTTTGACATCACTATGAATTGTGGACTTTTCTTATACCTTTCTAAGCAATAGTTTTGGAAACACAATTATTTTACACTTAGGAATGTGAAATGTAGGAAATAGTAAACCAGTCAAAACAGCAAGAGTGAAAGAACAGCTGTAGTGAATGAAGCCAGATATCCATCTGGGCAGTAGTGAATGTACAGGGACAAACCTTTGGATTAGGAAAAGTACACTGATAACTACCCAGGAAGGGTCCCTCAATTTCCGATCACCTGCAGTTAAATGTCTTCCTAAAATAAAGGTTGCAGAACCTTTCCTGAACCCCTCTTCAGCAATGGTGTCTAATTGGTTTCTACTTTAGGAAGTCAAATGGTCTTGGGATATTAATCATATGCTTTCTGAAAGAAGAAAGCAATATTACATTTCACTTACTTGCAGGTTTCCATATTTTAAACTAGGATTAGGTTTTGAGGAGAAAAAATAGGGGTTTTTTTTGGAAAACCAGACAGATTTGGATAATCTAAGGTCATTGATCTGCACATATGGTGACATAACTAACATTCCTTGGTTACTTTATTATCCTTGATTTTACTGGGGATGGAAAGACTACATAGGAGATACTTAAATGGTCTTATGGATTTGGTTTTATATATCAGGTAAGGTCAGTCATGGAACAAGGGCCTTGTATTCTTTACCGGTTTTATTAGTCCTTATAACCCTGAGTAGTAATGTCCTGTAGAAAACAATGCTACATTTTAGTGTATGATGAGATTAGACAGAAAAGGTAGAAGAACATGACAACATGATACAAGGCTGTTCAATATCCAGTTCCTACAACAATGGTACTGATCCTACACAATGCTGAATGAAATTATCCCTAGGTGTTCTCTAATATAGCCTACCTATTTAATTTTAGGGGTTGTTCTTTACCCAGAAGCTAGAAGGAAGAGAAACAGAGAATTTAGAATGTGCACAATATAGCAGCAGAAGGTTAAAAAATAGGACAATAGAGGGGGAAAGAATAATAAAGGAAGAGTCTAATTTTTGTTTCTTTAGATGATTGGTGACGGCAGCTAGGCTTTGGCACCAAGTGTTAAAGGATGAGCTGACATCGTAAATCGTGCTTGTAAAGGCAGTAAACCAGATATACTTGTTTTATGTGAACAGTACTGAAAATTGGTTTTGAAGTTGAGTTATGGGCTAATAAGGAAATGCAAGTAAAAAGTAGAGTGAGGGTGAAGGCTCTTACATCATGTATATATAATAAATGATTTCTCCTAAATGCAAAAAAAAGCATTTAAGTAAAGACAGTTAAATATTTAAATGTGTGTATATATAGTCAGATGGTTAGCATAGCAGTGATGTTTGTTCTGTCATGGATACAGTTTATCATTCCTTTCCTCTCTAGGGAACGCCAGGTTTACCTGGTCCACCTGGACCAATGGGACCTCCAGGAGAAAGGGTAAGATTTCCTCAGTTTAACTCTGAAAAGACCAAGTAACAGTTTTGGTGGGATTATTTTGTTTGTTTTGGTCCATTGCCCTTCCCCACACCTCTTTCTTTGTCATACTTGTTTTCAAATGCTTTTTCAAAAGGAGTCCTTTTATCAGTATCTTGCTTTGAGAGGTAAAAGTGGAAGGACTGGAAAAATCTAGGAGTGAAACCCTCCCCAGGTAGCCATAGGCTAGCCAGGTAGGTTCTATAAAAATTGCACTGCTTACTCTCCTGACTGGGTTCTTAGATGCCTGCTCCTATAGAGCACTGCTTCTATAGAGCTCTGTGTCCACTGAGCAGAGCTCTGCTGAGGTGCTTAGTCTTGCTGTCTTCCACATACTCTTGCTGCTGCACAGGATCCCTTTGAAAACTCTGGTTGCCTTAATGTCTGGGAGATATCATACCTGTAAAGAATCTAGCTGTGACATTCTTACTGTGAAGGTGAAGTTTGCTTCTTAACTTTTGGCTATCTGGAGCTAAGAACTTTTGTTTGAATGGGGAACTCTGAAACTCCTTCATAATGAAGAGCATGCACACAAGTATTTAATTGTGGAGTGGAGCTGTCGCCATCCCTTTCTTCTAATTTTGGGTCAAATATGCAAATCTTTTTTGTCTTCACAGTGGCATATCACCTTTGAGATGACTGAACCAATGACTTACCTTTACAGTCAAAATTAATAGCTGAGATATGCATTTATAGTTATGTTCTGTGGTGGGACTTGATGGCTGGGAATGAAAACAGACTACCATGTGGTAGCCACTTGCCAAAAAGCATACTATCGGATTGGTGGGTCATTAGTGGACCATGGACCACCAATGTTAATTTGTGTATGCTATGTTACATTATTGAAATGGGTTTTCTCAGCATCTCTTCTTGCAGGGAAAGTATCAGATGGAGGTTGTTCTTCATTTAAACAGAAACCTCAGATTTCCCAGCTAATCTGTGAGTGAGAGAACAGCAAAATGGGAGATCTTTCTTCTCTGGATAAAGCAACGATTCCTTTTCTTAAAAATGTTGAGACTCATGCTATCTTCAGTTAATCAGCAGCAGCTGAACATCTTCTAAATTGGCTGAAGCTCTGTTCCATAGCCTTCTACAGCATTAGTTGTGATAGTTACTTTTATAAATTATATTGTGGATATGTTTGAAAATACATGCTAGTAGTAACCAGGAGTTGCAATTACATGATTTTAAAGGCCATTTTAATCAGGCTACAGTCTTAAACAAGTCTCTAACCATGGTTTTATTTTTGAACAGGGTTTCACAGGAAAAGATGGTCCTACAGGTCCCAGAGGCCCACCAGGACCAGCGGTAAATATAATTTTGTCTTTGATATACTCTGAAATAAGAGAACTGAGAGAACTGAGCCAAGAGAGAACCACATCAACATTTAATTTCTGTCAAATATGAAATGGATCCTTTTTTTAATATCCTAAATGGATCTGGTGAAACTCTAATTAAAAGGTGAGCAGTCAGCTGCATAAAGCATGTATTCACAAACATTCGTAAGAGTAGTTTTGAAACTGATTTCTTCCAGTGTAAATAAGGGAAGAACCAGTTAATCTAATACTTTAGCCATGATCTGTAAATGCATAGCTAGATTTGCTAAAACTAATCAGCTTATTACTTGTATTCTGGTTAAAAAAAAACCCACAAAACAACAAAACAAAGCCAAACTCTGTTCAGACAAATTTTTCTTGACAAGAGTATTTGTGGATTAGTTTTTGCTTAAAAAGCTGCTTCATTGTGTTTCGTGGGACCATGTTAGAAAAGGTGCTGGTGTTAAGAGAAAAACTTACGCTGTATCAGACAGCCTGAGATAGGCAAGTTGCTGCAGCTCCATGTAATCAGGTCCATCCAGTAGCAAGGTGGAAGATGTATTCCTCGTAAGCATATGCAAACAGAGCACACATTTACACCAGGTATTAAATATAACTGGTGTGTATATAAATTATAGACAGGAGTCTCCAGGACAGGGCATTATATGGGCTCCCCCCATTCTCCCACAACTGTCTTTCTTGTGCTCCTTTGTGGGTGTGCAGGTGAGATTTTGTCACATAACCTAACACTAGTCTTTCATTTGTTCATATTTATCTAGTATCACTAGAATGAATTTTACGGACTTCTTGTTGAGGACTTTACATGGATCACAGATCTGCTAGATGAAGTTAGAAGGCCAAACTGTCTTGTACTCCTTTAGGAATCTGTCAGTAAGAGTGATACCAAAAACATATAGACACTGACTCTTTAGATTCAGAAATGCCTGTTAATCTGTGGTGTTATGTAAAAGGACACATTTCCATGAAGAAAAAACCCTACTTTTTTTCTAAAGGAAAGTTTTCAAGCCTGATATGTACCTAATAGAAAAAAACCTGAGGATGATATGCCTCGTTTTCACTATTGCTGTGCACTCAATACAATAACAAGTGTCTTATCAGCACTTACGCAGTTCTAGATTTCCACAATTCACATTACATGTTGTCTGCTGTAGGGTGCCCCAGGAGTTCCAGGAGTTGCTGGCCCAAGTGGAAAACCAGGAAAGCCAGGAGACCGTGGGACACCAGTAAGATAATGATACACTTACAGTATCAAATTTAAAATTACATTTTTCTGATGAATATGAGACTTCTTGCTTTAAATACTTGTCTTGCACTTATGACAGTGGTTAATACAGTGGAGCTGACCTAAGACCGCAAGCCTTTTTTTTTTCCAAACAATTTTATTTTTACAGTATGCCATTTTGCTGAGTTTAATAGCTGGGGCTGGAAATTGTGGTCTCTGGTTTCCACTCAAAAGATCATAGGCTATTATGTGCCAAGACATATATTCCTACACTGTATAAGCATGAAGAATTAGGTCAGCAAAATGACTGGAAGGTCTTTATATTTGTGTGTGCGTATGTGTAGTAAAAAAATGGTAAACTGCTGAAGGTGGACAATCTTTGATAATATTACACAATCACTACTGTTCTGCAAATATTTTGTGCCTTTTACAATGTAATTGCAAAATTATTTGGGGGTGGTTGCTGTGAGTTCTGTTCAAACCTTTAAAGTGCATCCTGAAGAGGGAGAAAGAACAGGAGGTGCTGCCTCCCACCAACAGTTTCAGGAGAAATTTGAACTGATTCATTTATAGAATCTCTGAGAAATTATGTTTGAGTCAGGAGTGGAGACAGGAATTGAAATGAGAAGTCATTCATTACGTCTACTTAATGTCTGGCAATCAGTCAGAATTTTCCATCCTGCTTCAATGTCATTGTGTATACAACAGCTGGATAATTTGGAAGAATATGTAGTAGGCTGTGCAGCTTGATGGTTACAAAGTGGAAGTGCCCAGGAGAGCACCTGGAAGCTGGGTCATTTTCTCATACACACACTGAAATCAGTCTGTGTTTCCCAGCCTGTAAATCCCATTTCTCCTTGCAGTAGAAGACACAGAGTCTTAGGAAAACACTGAAGCTTTGCTGTCTTTAGACATACACTGCTAATGTGATATTCCTGCCAGGTCAGATGCTGTGATTTGTTCACAAGTGAGCTTTCAACTATCAGGTCTATCCAAGTTTTTTTTCACCTGGGACACTGGATAGCTGACCCAGTTCAGCAGTGAAGATCTTCTGTAGGTAAATAATGTGCATAGAAGGAAATTTGGCTACAAGCCCACTTTCAGTGCTTTTGCAAAGCAAGGCAGTCAGCCTCTGTCCAAGCACTACACCTAAGTTGTAAATTCTCCTACACTCTACTCTTAAGAGCTGCTTTCAGTTAGAAGTACATTCTACTCTCCTCCAGTAATTGCACTTTCATGTAGTGGGACACTGTGCATCATATTTACCATTTCTTATGTTTCTCAGGAATTCTGGCTTGGACCTTGCACAGATGTTTTACCAGATTCCTGGTGGACAGAATTTCAACACTTTCCTTTGTGTCCAGCATTAGAATTGCCAAAGGTGTGGCGTGATGGCCAAATGCAACTTGCAGTGTCATGAATAATAAATAGTTCAGGCCTGCCAGAATTTGTAACTTCCTGCCCTGGAGAAAGGTAGTAAGGTTTTGCTTTCCTCTGATAAATACAAGAAGTAAATAATTTTTGACCAGATCCTGTCATTTTTATTTCTACCTGAACAGCCTGTAGTGCTGGTACTCTGAAGCACAATTCAGGTGAAAGACCCCTGCAAAGCAACGAACGTTACACCCCAGACAAAAGATGCACAGTTACATGCAAATTATGATGAGCCTTGGTGTGAAAACATTCCCACTGGCTGCAGTCAGCTGGAGCTCTTTCCTGATGCATTAAATACCACTAATGTGCTAAGATGAGGCAAACCACGCCACAAATGTGGCTGTAAACATTCCTCTACCTCAATGCGTACTTAGACTAGAACAAGTTGATACTTGAAGTGCTAACTGAATTTTCATGGAAATAGGAAATCTGACTTTTTAATCTGCTTATAAGTACTTCCAAGAGAAATTTAGGTGGTTTTTTTCAGTGTAGTAGAAAAATGACTGAAAAAGGAACTGTAAGAATACAAATGAGTCAGTAATCTATTGAGAATTAGGCACTGGCTATTCTTAAGGAGGCTAAAATATCTGTTCTCTCTCTCTGTCTGTTCAGAGACTGAGAATTTGGTAGTAGTCTGTACGCATATCATAGGGTAACAACCAGCAAGGGTAAGAAAAAGTCATTAAACTAGAAGAAGATATTGGCTTAAGAAGAAACTGGTATGTTTTCTGTTAATGAATGTAATAGGAAATACAAGATCTTGGACTATCAGAAATGAAAAGTTCCAGTATTGCTGTTTTATAGGTGTAAGAGTGAAAATGGCAACAGATGAGTGGACAGACTAAGTCATCTTAAGGTATAGCTGTCTCGTTTATAAGACAGACTTCGTGACAACAGGGTCTGACTTTGTTGATTGAGAAAATCCCCAGGATTTAGACTGATGCCTCCAGGACCAAATACAATGTGAAAACCCTTAAAGGGTAATCCCAAGCACATAAGGGAGACTTTTGTTGGTAGTTAAATGTGGGTTTTGAGCATTTTCTGTTCTCTACTGCCATGTGTTTACTGACCTTGCATCCATTCATACAGACATCCTAGACGAAGTCTCAAAAAGTTGCTGCTTTGGGAGTAACGAACTGGTGGTTCTTGTGGGGAGCAAACATTCTTTTGAGGAAAACAATTGAGTACATTATCTTTTAAAGCAAAAATAGCAAAAATTCCTTAGTTTTGTCCTCCTTCAGCCATAGAACTTTGCTGCAGCCCCAGCCCGCATCCCACAGCTCAGAAAAATCCCACAGGCAGCATAAACTAGCTTTCCTCACACTGACCTCAAGTGACTCCCTCATTGCAGGATATCAACAAAAAAGAATGTCAGCGGCAGCTGCTGCTTCTCAAAGTGCTGGCAAGCAGTTGGCTAAGTTGCACGTTTTTGTCTATTAAAAGGAAATAAACTGAAACTTAAGAAGAATTATAACCAAGTGGGAAGAAGATGCAAATAGTAATTCAGTAGTTGCAGTTAAATTTTTTTTTTTGTAAATCATATTTCTAAAATACCCAGGTGGTGGAAAATTAACTTTGTCAACCTCTAAAAATAACAGTCAACCTCTAATCTTCAAATTTTAAAGTTAGATTGGAATAACCTATAGATTTCCAGTCATAAAACTGAATCCATCTTAGCAAGGTCACAAATTGAAGAATGATGCTCATTCGATTTCAGTGAATTGTAAAATTGACTGTATATCATATATTTTATTATATTTTTTATTACAATTTTCATATTATAATTAAAGAATTGCCTTAGCATTTTTCTAGTTTGGGGACCTTTGTTGGCAATACTTTTGAGCAGTGTTGTGCTTTTGTTACTAGAGCACCCTCTTGTCTTACCAACATCACTTGTGGCTGAAGACAGTCTGAACTTGGCTAGTCAGCAAAAACATTTCCAGAAACACTATATAGGGTTTGAACATTTTAAATTTGCTTAATTTTTTTTTTCTTGTCTCTTAGTTCTGCTGTGTGAATGCTCTAGCAAGTGAATTCGTGGGAACATGGCATTTTAAGTAATTATTAGAATATTGTCAGGATAGTAGACCAGAAATCTGATTTCTAGTGCTTGCACTTACCTAGTGTAAACAAGAAGAAATACTGTATGATTTGCTTCCTGTCAAAACATCATGAGGTTGTACTATGAAAGCCTTAGAAAAATGAAAATACAATGAGCAGATATTATAAATATGTACTCAGAAGGGAAAGAATATTTGTAATTTTGATGGGTATATTTTATACATATTAGTAATTGATGGGTGGCATAATTTATTCCAGTGGCACATTTATGTCATCGTCATTCTAAATCTTTCATTTGAGTCTGTACAATTAATTTTGCATAAAAATCTGTCATGTGTGATGTTAATGTACTGTATGCCAACTACCTAACTCAGTGATGGATGAGCTGCCTCATATTTTCTGTAGCATGTCATGGGTAATGCAACACTGCTGGAAGGAAGCTCAGCGAGCATACTAGGTTCACACCCTAATGCACTCCATGGGAATTTGTTTGCCCCAGACCTTGATAGAAGTCTATGAAACAGTGCCACTGCATTTGAATTGTATCTTTTGTGACCTCAGTGGAATGATTCGTTGTCTTGTGTTGTTGAAATTAACTGTGGGTACTGTAGGAATGTTATGAAAAACAACTGCAGCCCACACTTAGCCTTTGCTTTGTTGATAGTGACAAACAGAAATCCTCCTTAAAGAAATACCACCATGTAAAAAAGTGGTAATACTTAAAATGTGTTAGTATGTGGAAAGCAATGCAGAGCATCAGATGACTATACTGGTCTTTCGCCTCTGAAATATGCCTTGGAGTTCAAATAGTAATTTTGGCTACATGTGAAAATCCATTTAAACTCATGCTAGCCTCTTTCAGCTTAACTAGCAAAGATCCTGTGCTCTTTAGACACATTTCTGGCAGGTGAATTTACAGTGCATTTTTAGAAGGACTCAGCTGTGTCCTAACTCTTCATCTACTAGTCACCCGTAAAACTCACACTGGATACTGCAGGAGCCATAGTTATGGTCAAAGTATTGTTTGTACTGTCCTGGAATTTAGCATGCATGTGACATTTGTTTCAGTGAGGGTTCAAGAGCATTGGAAGTGCTGTTGATGGTGGTTTCCTAAGCAAGTTTTGCAGTAAATATAGGGGTTTGGTTTTGTTTCTATTTCTTTTTTTTGTTTTGTTTTCTTTTTTCTGGTGGGGCTTTTTTTTTTTAATTTTGATATCGAAATTAAAAAATAGCTTTAAAATACTACAGATTTTCAGATTTTTCAGAGTCATCTAGTGGCTAAAACACATGATTGTGATTCTAATCTTCTGCTTATTTCAAATGGGAATCTGCAACGTCTGCTGTGGCCAAAATCATGTCAAATAGACCAAAGTAAGCTATAAACATCCTTCTGAGATCATTGCTGTCTATTTTGAAAATCTTTAAAAATCCATCATAACAAGCATTGTCATTACATTTTCTTTGGAAAGTACGGTTTCCTCTTTCTTGATGTTTTATTTTGCTAGCAGTGGAATGCAAACATAAGGCTAAAATCTCAAAGAGTTGTATGAGAGGTGCACACAGAATTTTGTTTGCAGAGTAGACTGTGTGTGCTATCTCCAGTTCAGCATTTAAAAAATCTTTAAAGTATACCTGATGTTTTTCCAGCCATAGACATATAGATATATAAAAATTTGAATCAGTCCTTCTGCTTCGCTTCTTACATAGTATTCTTGAAAACCAAAAAACTCACAGCCACTAAAGCATTTAAATGCAAATGGGAATTGCTGTTAGGCAGAAGCTAGCGCTTGGCAGTTGGCAATAATTATAAAGCAGCTTAAGCTAAGACTTCGAGACTTTTATAACACTAGAAATGGTTGAAAATTAGCAAGAAAGTTGTTATAAATAGAATAAGTACTTAATGGTGTCTCCATCTTATGTGCCATCTCTTAACACAGGGTCTGTTTCTTGTGGGTTCAAGGAGACAGCTACCCTTCCTAGACATACGTTATTCTTCCTATCTTACCTTCTTTAATGATAAGTTGGCTTAAGACTTAAAATTAAACAGTCATATATAACTCATACAAGACCATTAACCATTTAAAGAAATGTAATGCTAAAAATTCAACTTTCAAATTGCCAGTGTGGTTTCAGTATCAGAATATGTCAGTTTCTTTGGCCCCACTTTGAATATTTCCTGCAGATCTTTCTATTCTGCATCTGTCAGTGTGTTTGCTCATACACAAAAGATCATTGTTTGTCTGTTGTTTTTCTGGCATCTGCTTTAGCATCTTTGAAATGTAAAGTTCAAGGACCAGATCTGTCTTCCAGAATGAGCCAAAATGTGTTCTAGAGTTGCATGTCTCAAACCTATAGGTGAGGTGGAATAATAATAATCCTTCAGTTGCTTTATTTTTACTGTATTTATTTTAGGGTGCACCTGGAATGAAGGGAGAAAAAGGTGACAGAGTAAGTCTTCTTAAAGTCAGTTTTTGTCAGATTTTTTAATCAAAAACTATATTTTTAGAAGCACAGATGCTTACTAATATATCACTTGCTTTGGTTTTGATTATTTAGGGTGACATTGCTTCTCAGAACATGATGCGAGCAGTTGCAAGACAAGTTTGTGAACAACTGATAAATGGTAAACAGTGTTGCTTGCTTTGTTTCTCATTCTAGTAATTTACTACTTTGTAAAAACAGAAACCAATGTTTTAAATTTAAGGTGATGGATACTGGCCAAAGAGTATAGCAAGAGCCTGAGTGATCTGATTAGCTGTCCAATGCCAGCGATCTAGTGGAAAAAAATATATCACTAGATCTTTGCCAGATCCAGATGGCTAGCGTGATCATGAACTAACCTGTGACCTTTGGAAATACACATGAAAGTCTGTACAAGGAAGGTGACCTTCCTTTAGTCAGTCTGGTCCAAAATTACTTCATCTTTGTATAAAATCAGCATACATTTTCTCATTAAACATGTCTTATCTTCAGAAGGAAGGAATCGGAGAGAAAAAGGATACTCACTCCTAACAGGAAAAGACAGATGAGTGTTGGGTAAATACTGTGCACGGAATCAGATGTGCTATGCAAGTAAAAATGATATTTATTTGGAGAAGCACTCCAGATTGAATTTCAGTCCTCTGCTGCCACACAGTGCAGCTCTGCAGCCCATGAAAATATTCTTTACAGAGTCTTTCTCTCTGTCCCTGAGGCAGTGCTTTTACTATCAGTAGATCTGCCAAAAAAGATGGAGACAAATGTGGCCATAAATTGTTCTTAATATTGTTTCTATAATAAGAGTAAGTTCTGACTCATGTAAACAGATATACCTTTTTGATCGTTAAGAGTGTTTGTGCACAGAGAGGACGACAGTGTATGTCTATTATGGCTGCTATTTAAAGTAAGTCTGTGAGCTAGCACAGAGGGAGAAAAGTACATTCATGAATGTTTTAGACTTATGAATAAGGATGTATCTGAGATCTTTTATCATCTCTTTTTTGAACATAACAGCCTTATTTTTTTCATATTCAGCTCATCTTTTCAGGGATATGCTAAGACTGGTGCATTACACTAATGAGCTAGATATGGCCACCCATTAAGGGCTCCTTTCTGCATTGCTTCACAATGCTGTTGCTTTTATTCAGACACCTGTCTTTGGAAATTAAATTTGCCTATATGCAGAGGTATATAGGTACAAGCTTATGCATCCTACAGGCTTAAGAAAGTGACCTTATAGACTGTGCGCTGTTATTTCTTACCTGAATAAGTTGTACTGTGTTTGTCGTAGGTTCAGAGCTCTGAAAGTACATAGAAATGTGGTACTTAACTTTTAGAAGTGTAACAAGTCATCTTTGTTCTTCAGAGTAAAAATAACTTCTAATTAGAACTCTAAGAGCAAGAGTACTGTAAACAAAGGCTTATTTTGTGACTTTAATTGCTTTAAAATTAGTTTTTATTAATGTTACTGGCTTCTAGAAGCCCCTTTCCTTTTTATCCTGCCTCCTCCATTTGTGATGTGTTTTATTATCAGACATTCACATTATGTCTTCCTAATTCACCTCTGCTAGTTCACCACTAATTTGTTGAATAGGGACAAGGACAGAGTTTAATGAGGAGAGATGAATTGCTACTTCTTCCCACTATGATAAAAAACTTTCACTCATTTCACAAAACTTATTGAACCATTTTGCTTTCTTTTTGAAGGTCAAATGAGCAGGTTCAATCAAATGCTGAATCAAATCCCAAATGATTATTATTCAAACCGTAACCAGCCAGGGCCACCGGGACCACCTGGTCCCCCAGGAGCTGCTGGGACTAGAGGAGAGCCTGGACCTGGGGGAAGACCAGGATTCCCAGGACCTCCTGGGGTCCAAGGACCACCCGGTGAAAGAGGTGGGTAAATTCCAAGGCAGCTGTGTATTTCACAGTGGACATAGTGCAGAGGCTGCCAGAGGAGCAGTCTCATCCCTTTACCATGTCAGACGTGGAAGCCCACACCTAGCAGTAGCCTGTTAGGTCAGTTGGATTGCATGAGGCTGGAGGACAAGGTTAATTACATCAGTGCTTTCCTCTGTCTCCCCATGCTCATGTTTCATAAAACACAAGGTGGTATAGCATTTTGGCTGCTGTCTCAGGCTTCCACAGGATATCCCAGGAAAGTGAATGTTCTCGGAACTCTTCTGGCACTAACCAGCTACATCTTGAAAGGCTGTTTGAAGTAACACAACTCTGCAGAACAGAACTCTCACTAAAGAGACAAAATGAGTCATTACCAAGAAGAAAAAGTAGGAGTTGAAAGAATTAGGTCTACATCTTTGGCTCTTTGCAGTACTCTGAAGGAGGGAAGCAACTCTGAACTGAGTTTTATTATATGGGTAAACCTATTTTATGACTACCTTGGATCACTGCAATGACATGGGGTGTCTGGACTGTACTATGTTGTGGCCTTTGCTACTCTACTGTAGCATGAACTCAGTGCTGTGTTTTCTAGCATGTATTTTAATATAAACTTTAAAACAGAGTAGAAAAAAAAAGGAAGAATGAATTTCTGAATTCTGCTTTCTTAAACTTATTTCATCATAACTGTTTCTAAGAAAATATAAAGTATCCTTTGTAGCAAAAGTATGCAAGCTTGAAAATACCTTCCTATTTCTAGCTTAAAATAATAAGGTTCTGTGTTGTTTTAAGTATCTCAAAGACTTTTGTAGGTCTGAGAAATTTTGTTCACACTAAATTACCTCTGCATCCTACTTTATTTTTAGGTTAATATATTTATATCCAAATTATTTTCCCAAATGCACATTTGAACATCTGTACTAAATAAAGTTTGACCAGCCTTGTTGCATTAAATAGTGGGAAATAAATATTAATATCCATGAGAGAGCAAGAAGTAGTTGTTGATGTGGTTTTTGGGTTTTTTAATTTTTTTTTTTTTGTTTCTGTAGGAATTCCTGGAGAGAAAGGTGAAAGAGGGACTGGATCTCAAGGACCACGAGGTTTGCCAGGGCCACCTGGTAAATATTTCTTGTTTTATTAGATTACGGAAAAGTAGGAGAAAAAAAGACAAAATTTCTTCATAGGAAACCAGACTACATATGCTGAACATACATGCTTTTGTCATGTAATAGAGTTTACTGGAAACCTGTACAAAAAAGAGTAAGTTAGAAGATTTTTGGATGTGGCTAATAAGTGTTTATTTTGTAATTTCTTCATCTGGCATGCTTCCTTGTGTGAAAATGTATTTCATGAAAGTACATTGTTCAAATATTTGATGGATGTTTTCATAAGTGTTATCAGATGATACTTTTGAAGTATCTAGTTCCATTTTTCACAGGTTAATATGTGATTACAGAACTACAAATTGCCCCTGGACTACAAAATACTCCCAGATGCAGAGTTTCAAGATAACAGAGTCAGATGATTTGACCACTGTATGATGTGATTTTGTTCACTGATGCCTTGGCAGAAATCAGCTGCATCATTTGTTTCTGCTTGTAGTTTACTAGGGTAAAATGGTTTTCCATTACAGGACCCATAAGACGCTTGCAGCAAATTGTAGCCCCAGTTACTTGGAACTTTACTTTTCTGCTAACCATAATAAGTCTAGTTCCAAGAAAAACATTACCTCATCTATCCTGGGGCCACAGGGCAGCAGGATTAATGTACTCCTATATTTTAATTGAAATCCAGTGTGCTTGTCTAATCTAGTAGTTTCCCTTGAGATCGTCGTATCTCACACAGAGCGGAAATAAACCAGAGAATTCATTGATGTTTCTCACTTGGCTCAAACCTTACTAAATCAGTTTCTGTGAATAAATCCTTAAATAAGCCACACACAGGGAAGCGACTAATGATGAGTCATATTTCTAATTTTCTTTTGGTTGTCTTTCTGTTGACCCCCATATAGCAGCAAAGTGCAAGCGCTTTCTCACCAAAGACATAACCTAGTCTGTGTAGTCTAGACAGCAGTAATGTTCGCTGTTTGGTCAAGCTAGCTCTTAAAGAGAACAACCTCCCAACCTTTCAATTCTAAAATTAGGTCCACAGGGAGAATCTAGAACTGGTCCACCAGGCTCCACAGGATCACGAGGACCACCAGGGCCACCAGGTCGTCCTGGAAATGCGGGTATTCGAGGTCCCCCAGGACCGCCAGGATATTGTGATTCATCCCAATGTGCTAGCATCCCTTACAATGGCCAAGGATTCCCAGGTAGGTTATGAACAACTTCACTTGCCTTAAATAGCCTTCACAGATGTGGCTGTTCATATTGAGCTGCTTTACATGAGACAGTCCTGCTAGCCTGGACTTACTGAATCAGGAGGAAATGGTTGCAATGAGCAGGCCTGCCTCATTGTAATGTGCAAGTATATAAGCAGTCATTTGGACCTTGATTTACTTGATTTTATGTTTGCTTTAAATAGGAAGTGGTAACTAAATATTTTAGGGGTTTTGTTTTATTTTTTTAAACATAGATGGCTAGTAGTTGATAATGTTGCTCAAAGGATTTAAGTGACCATTTTTTCTTCTTCTTTTTTCCCCTTCATCCCCACACCTTCCAATCGTCTTCAGAACAAGGCTGAATTCTCCATGTTCTCTTGAAAAATAAAAAAATGCTGTGGTTGGCAATTTCCATGTGTCTCTTTTTGAGCAATGTCAGGATTATTTATACAAAATTAATACCTGAAATAAAAATTTTCCACAAATGAAATGCATTCATTTATACAGCATAGACAACTGAAAACAACCACTGTCCTACAATTTCTAGCACGTTAAGCACCATGGAGTTTCTGATTAGCCCTGGGTCATATCAGCCTTCCCCTTTGTGATGTAGCTCAAAACAGTAGGCTGCTTCTGGAATCAAAATAAAGGGTCGCAGCGGCTGTCAGTTTCTGACTGGAAAGTTTCGAATATATTTTAACATGGGGATCCTGCAGGACCACAGTGTTGTTAACAAATTAATATGTATGCATTGCAACATCTCAAAATTAGTGTATGTGATACTACTATTGGATATGGTTTGCTGTAGCGTATTGTGCATGTACCCATGAAAAGGAAAAAATAATTAAAAAAAAAATATATATATATATGTACACACTTGCAGACTCAGTGCTCCTGGTTAAAAGCCGGGTGGTTGTGCAGATCTCACACAAAATTCTTATTTAAATGAAAAAAAAAAAAAAAGAAAATCGTACCTGTGACTCATAAGTGTTCTCCTTTCTAGTAGACAGCTATGTATACATATATAAATATATGCCTATGACTTAATTGTTATGTATTTAGTTGAATGAAAGTATGTTTTTGCACATCAGATGGACTTTTTAAAAGACTAACATCATCTTTGACCTATTTCAGGTTTCGGCTAACACATTTTCTAAGTCGCCAGTGCTGCTTACAGTTTGAATACATGAAAATCCTGTTTCTGAGATGTTTGCGCACGTGCTTATTAGAAAATGAGTCCGTATGGATATTTCACCACGGATATGGTTTTTGAACCATGTTGGCCTCATAGAATGGGGAGATTCCTTTTACTAACACAACTTGTTAATGAGATAAAGGACAGTGATGTCAGTTCATTAATCCTGTTGCATTTCAATAGTAAAATAGACAGTCTTTCTTTTTTAAAAAAAGACCCAGACCATCAAAAGCCTTAGTGGTGAAGGAGGCTTATAAAACTACTAACCAGCAAAGGTAATGCCGTTAGAAGAGACAGACTTAACCTGGTAAATGAGAAACGACTTATGTAAATAGTAAACTAATTGTGGCTTGTAAATGATTTGTATGGGACTGTATCCACTAAAATCTGTTAACAACTCTATGTGATGCTTTTGCATAAAAGCCTGCTGCTGCTTGCTATTAGCTGGAATAACATCTTTGACAACTTATGAAATCTGCCTGTCTGTTGCTTGTTACCAACATGTCAGAATCGGGGCATGAGCCTTTTTTTCATATGTTATCTTGTTGGATTCTGTAACTGCAGTTATAAATACCAAAGTTTTATAATTATTTTTCTTCTGTTTTGCTGTAGTTTTTGGTGTTCCTGAAGCACCAGCTGTAACTCGGTTTGTTACGAGGAACAGCACGAGAAAATGACATGTACTGTATATTGCCGCTGGTGATAGTTATGTCTACACTTTCCCATTTCTTAGAGAAAATCAGTGTATGCCAAACCCACCTGTTCATTTACCTGCTTCATGTCTTCTACTAATTACACAGTTTAAAATAAAGCCCAGTGCTTGGATTTACCAAAGTAGCTGTAAAATAATATTTTAATTTGATTTGCTTTGTGTTTTTTTTTTTTTTTTTGTTTAGTTCTGCAATAATTGGTCCCTTGCATAATTTAAGACTCTTTCTGCAATGTTTTGTGTATTATAAATACAAAACCTTTTAAAATTAATTTAAAATTTTATTGTTTTACTGCCAAAGACTATTAATGAACAAAAGAGAAAAACACCCCAGTGAACTATTAATTTATATATTTATTATATGGAAATAAGATTGGACTAACATTATGTAGACAAACTAACCTTCATTGTATTTGTGGATTCAAAGACATGCGATAACTATTATGTTCAATCGGACAACTATTTTCAACCAGAACCATATGTGCCTGAAAGTGGACCCTATCAACCTGAAGGTGAACCCTTTGTAGTACCTATGGAGTCAGAAAGGAGAGAGGACGAGTATGAGGACTATGGCGTTGAAATGCATTCACCAGAATACCCTGAGCACATGCGCTGGAAAAGATCACTGTCAAGAAAAGCACAAAACAACCCATAAAAGATCTGTGTCTTGTTTTGGTTTTTTTGGTTGGTGGTTTTTGGTTTTGCTATGCTTGTATTTGCAGATACACACAGGGAGAGTGCATAATTTCTTTTGCAATATAGCTTTCTGGTCTTTTCATATCGGACGCACCCCTGTTTTGTATCTTGCTTATGTGGGGATAGCAACGTGTGTACCTAGAGACTTCATATTGCTCTGGAAATGCTTGTAAAATAGTTCTGCTTATATTGGCTGCCTACAGGTTAAGATGTGCATTCAGTTATCCCAGTGCTGCCTTTTCATTAAAATAATGTAAAAACAATTAAATAAAAAAAAGAAAACAGAAAAACCAAAACAAAAATAACCACAGAGCTGCTGCAAATTTTCTAAGGACTGTCTGCTTTAGCTCTACATTCTTTTTCTTTTTCAAATGCATGTTTGCAGTTCAGTCAGGTCACAGGTCCGCATTATCTAGTTAAAAAGAAAGAAACAAAAAATTCTCTCTCCTTCCAATATCATTGTCATTTTCTTCTATGCTTAGTTATACTTTTCAGAGCATGTACCGCTCTTATACATCTCGTTTAAACACCACAAACAGTAAGTAGCTGAAATCATTGTATCAACTGGATACAGTTTAATAGTGCCTGAAATCTCCTTGTTGTAGACACAGTAACATTTATGCCAAATTGCAGTCAATCCTGCAGAGATGGAATTGCATGTTTATGTTGTATATTTAGTATGGATTTTTTTTTTTTCCAGACTACAATGTTTCTTAGTTATCAAAAGCAGTTGGAAATTGTTTGCAAGACTATGGATATAGAATTGCTGCTTTTATATTTTAACTGCAAATTGTGAATTTCACTGCCTTATATTATTTATTTCTGAAATGAAAGAGGCATTTTTCAATAAAACTACTGAAAATTTATATGTGTCTATTCATTTTTGAAAGGCGTGTGAGACTGATGTGTGTGTTTTCTTAATCATTTGGAAATGTCAGGTGGCAAAATCAAGTAGAATGGGAATAGTCTTAAAACGGGTATTTGATCTGTGGTGGCTAGAGGTGGGTGGATGAAAGCAAGAAAGGCTTCCTCTGTCTGAGGTATGAATAAGACAACAGACTCAGTCTGCAAGGCATTTGGTGAAGGAAATGAAAGAAGGGCTCTGAGCTGCAGTTGCTGTCTTGTTTTTTTGTTTCTGATGGATAGCTGTTGCAGAAAAACAGACTTTCCACCTGAGGAACTATTGACCTGCAGCGAGTACCGAAAGCTACACAAACTTTTAATTCCTTGTGTGCTGTGAGCATTGTAGCCATGGCAGCACTGAGTCCAGTATAAACAAAGAGCTTGCTTAAGGATGTTTGCTGAGCTCCATCCTGCTGGGACCATATGTGAGCTGGCTACTGTCTGCTCAGGAGGTCATGTGTGTCTGCTCAAGCTTCGATCCCAGTGGTGGCTGTGATGTACTTTACCTAGAGAGGGCAGCAAAGATGACTTGGAAAGAAACACAAAACTGCGGTGGACCCGAAGGATGACTTCTGAGGAGGAGAAAGTGGACTGGTGGTGATCCTTCCTATCCATGGTATCTTAACCAAGGTCTGTTTGAGAAGCAGAAATGGCTTTTGTCATAGGAGCTGAATCAAAGCATTTTGACTTCATTATGAAAGCTGGAATGCAGTTTCTTAAGATCACGCAAGGCACCTGTCACAGGGGGGAAGCTAGATGTGCAGGCTGGCTTCCTGATCACTGAATTTTATCCCATACTGGAAGCTATATGACAAACTTTAGTGTCCAAAACTGGAAATTATACAACAACTTCATATGCTGCCTGACTGGTTATCAGTGAAATGAAATCCAAACAAATGGCATTTCAAAGAGTGATCCTGATTACAGCCATATGCCTTTTAGACTGTAAGAGAATAATTTCTGAACTGAGGAACATTTAAAAGAGAATCAAAGCCATTTATTCTTTATGTTTTCTTCTAATTGCAGAGAGTTAAGTGTCAAAAACATGTCCTGCAGCTTCATGTGCAATAAAGAAATGTGTGTGTCTGGCAGAAATAAAGATGCTGCTAGAAATTTGAAGAAGTGATTAAAATGTTTTTTTTCTGAATTGTATTTAAAAATGACATTTTGCATTGATCTCCTACCTCTTTTTTTCTGGCAAGCTTAATCAGATGCCCATATATTCATAAAAGAGATTCTCTTCTGTCCTCCAAACAGAAAGTTTTAGTTTATTAAAGCATATATTTTAAATTATTTTTCTATTTCTTCCCCAAATACACCCAATGCCTGCCAACCATGCCTCACCTTCTTTATGTTTTTTATTAATATCAGTCTCAACGGAGATGTTGCTGTGAGTCATGCCCATCTCTGAACTTAAAAAAAATGTATCTCATAAAAATATCCCCATAGTTCCCAAACCTGGTTAACACTCCTTTCATCTATGCTGCAATGTTTGACAGTGAGGCTGCTTCTGAGAGCACATTTTGAAGTAAAAAAGAGTTTCACTGGCTTATCCAAAATATGGAGAAAATACTTGAAATGCTTGGACAGCATATAAACGAGTATTTACTGATGGAGGCCAACGAGGAAGAACAACTCATTTGCAGGAATTCTCAGAAGAATGATTCTTGGGGGGATAGGGTTGCTGATGACACTTCTGGGAAAGCCACTGCCAAGCTGAGCTGAGCAAATCCTGGAGAAATGCAGATGTAAAGCAAATTCAAATAAGTTTGGGTTCCTGAGTATCTCCTGCACAACTGAGCAGTTTATGTAGTTTGGCAGTTTTAAAGAAGGAAAATGTTTAAAAGCTCAGTTTTAGTTGTATATGCTCTTTTTCTCCTTTTGGCAAAACTGGATACGAACAAGCAGGTGGGAAAGGGCTGCTGCTTGTTTGAAATTAGGATGGAGCATTGCAGAGAGGAACTTAATGAAGAGTCTTTGTGTGTCCCACAAATACTTGCTCAGAGGGCAAGTTCTTTACATTCCTGTTAGCATGGATAGGAAAACTGCACAAACACCCAGACAGTGTTACAGTTTTATGGAGGATAAATACTGGGGTAGTGCCTCACGGCTGTGATCTCTGTGCAATAACAGGCAAAAATGGAGTGCAGGAAAGCATGTAAAGAGTGCCTCCATTCTATTTCTGTCATGGTTTTGCAATAGTCTTTTGAATGCCCTAGCACTGACTGTGCTGAGATACTTATAAAAGAAGATAAAAGGACAGTGACTGATTTTGCCAGACATGAAGAGTTTCAACCAACAGCATAAGCAGTTGGTCTTTGTTCCCATTAAGGCTCCTTTTTGTATAAAAATAAAAAAAAGGGTGTATTAGTGATATCTTGATTGATCTATATAGATCTTGAAGGCAACAATTCATAATGGCAAGTCTGCAAAATAAATTCCACTCTGGAAAATACATTAAAGGAGTCACATGGTCCTTGAGGTTGTCCGCTGCCCTGACGAAGTGAAATAACGTGTTGATATTTCTGACTGCAACTCAGGCCAAAGTTACTAATGGGAAAACATTTTGGGAAGATGTTGCATTGTGAAAATACTAATTATTTCTATGTCAGCTTTTTAATGTAAGAATGATTACCCTTTGTATCATTTTAAGATACCTGCCCCACTGAACATACTGACATGAAGGTAGTATTTCTGGTCTTCAAAGACAAAAAGATCAAACCACCTTATAGCCATCAAGAAAACATGGCTTCTAACAAAGGCTTTACTTCTTTCAGCATTCTGCAAAAGACCTCAAACTTTGGCCTTGACCAGCTAGTTAAAAGTTGCACAGCCATTACTGTCATGCTCTGGAAAAAGAGATGGGAATGAAAGGAAATTCTCTAGAAGGCTTCTCCATATCTGAACATTCTTAGATGACATTCAGCTAAAAAGAATAGACTCCAACAGTGATTTTAGTACTGTTACACATTAGCCTCTGAAAAGAAATGCTCAGTTGCGTTTTCATCCAGTTATTTTTCTGTGCTGTTTGTTTTAATATGTTTCTGTCTCATTGTGTTTGTTCTTTTGTCATGCATGAGATCATTGACCTAAATTTGACAAATTGCACCTCAGAGAGTGATTCTGAAATGCAAACTGAAATCCTACCTTTTGTAAGATCAACTGTTTTGCCACTGAATTTAGCAAGGCTGAATTTATAGTCTTGCTTTCATGGGGGTGTTGATTGATGAGAAACTCGACATGAGCCGGCTTCAGTGTGCGCTTGCAGCCCAGCAGGCCAGCCGTATCCTGGGCTGCATCAAAAGAAGCATGACCAGCAGGTCAAAGGAGGTGATCCTGCCCCTCTACTCTGCTCTTGTGAGACCTCACTTGGAGGATTGTGTCCAGTTCTGGTGTCCTCAACATAAAAAGGACATGGAGCTGCTGGAGCAAGTCCAGAGGAGGGCCACGAGGATGATAAGAGGACTGGAGCACCTCCCGTATGAAGACAGGCTGAGAAAGTTGGGGCTGGTCAGCCTGGAAAAGAGAAGGCTACGTGGAGGACTTATAGCAGCCTTCCAGTATCTGAAGGGGGCCTTTAAGGATGCTGGGGAGGGACTCTTCATTAGGGATTGTAGTAGTAGGATGAAGGGTAATGGGTTTAAACTTAAACAGGGGAAGTTTAGATTAGATACAAGGAAGAAGTTCTTTACAATGAGGGTGGTGAGGCACTGGAATAGGTTGCCCAAGGAAGTTGTGAATGCTCCATCCCTGGCAGTGTTCAAGGCCAGGTTGGACAGAGCCTTGGGTGACATGTTTTAGTGCAGGGTATCCCTGCTCATGGCAGGGGGTTTGGAACAAGATGATCTTAAGGTCCTATCCAACCCTAACTATTCTATGATGATTGTATGATTCAGCAAATCTGCTCTGTAAGCTTGGAGATGTAGAAAGCCCATAACAGTAAGATATTTGCTTTTGGATAAGGAAATGCAGGAAGATCATTTGGAGCTGTCACCTGGATGCTGCTCTCATTTTCATTTCTGGGCCAGCATTGTTGTTCTGAGTTTCTTCATCCTTGAAAATCACTCTTTGTTT